CTTCCGATCCCAATGCCTCGATGGCCCGACTAATTGCCCTGGATAATTGTCCGTCAGAAACTCGAAAAATTAGCACTCCCCGGCATCCAATCTCGCGCTGCACTCCCTCCTTCCAATCTCGGCCAGTCTATCTATATATAAAAAATAAAAAAAATAAAAAAAACCGACCCAATTGATGCATCATAGAAATATTTCATCATGTAAAAATATTCACCGCATTATTTTAAATATTTTTCGTGTTATTTATGTATTATTGATGTGTTATTGAAGATATATGAATATTCCCTCGCTCAATAACACATAATAATACATAATAACACAATAATAACACATAATAACACAATTATATACTCTCTAATTTTTGGTATAACACGTGATGAATATTTCATGTGTTATACCGCAGGCTAGGGGAGTGTTATAGGGCAGCTGTATAACACGTGGGGCAGTGTTATAACTCATGGTATAACACACATGAAATATTTCTCACGTGTTATACCACAAGCTAGGGAGTGTATAATTGTGTTATTACGTTTTGTTATTATGTGTCATTAGTTTGTTATTAGTTTGTTATTAGTGTGTTATAGAACAAAAATAATTCATTTAGATGTCATAATTTATATTTATTAATAACTTATAGTTATTTAATGTGTTATTGAGAGCTTATGAATATTTCATGTTATAGGAATATTCTCTCGCGTTATTCTGAATATTTTCAGCGTTATTCATGTGTTATTTAATGTGTTATTGATGTGTTATTCATGTGTAATTAATGTGTTATTCAGAATAACACGAAGGAATATTTCTATAACACTGCGACAATGACATTTTAATAACAAATATATCACAGTTAATAAGAGCATTTACAAACATACCATCTACAAGCATACCATTTGAAGCTTTTAACATATTTTGGGTGTCAGATATGTGTAAACATTAAAATTGTGTGTTATGTATGTAAATTCTCTATAAATTAAATTAATTGGTACTCTTAATAGCGTCATATACAATTTTTTTTTAAGATAGTCAGCATGGAAACATAATCACCAACATAAATATTCTTTCTCAAAATAGTGATATCTAATTATCTGTGAAAAAAAAATTATCATGACCCGGTCTGTTGTTTAGAATTAATTAAGATGAAACCCCGTGTTTTCGTTTATTTTTTCTCTTTTTTTATTTTAAAAGGAGTCGCCAGCTTGTCAATCGTCGTATACTTCCCCCATTCGAATAAATCTCCCTCCCGAACCATATGAATGATTTGAAAAGGAGAGGAATCGAATAAAAAGGGACATACGACAAAGTGACAAACAAGAGAAAAAGTAAAACGCGGAAAGTCTATGTGCGATAAACCTCGCAAGGATATATTAAGAATGTCCGCCCAAACAAGATCGGGTAGAGGCACCTTAAACCAATATCCGCGAAAGAAGTATCTATATAGACTACCCATAACCAGAGAGTCAGGTGTATGTACCTGGTTTCGGGTCAAGAGCACTCCCAGAGGAACGTGTTCCTACTGGTTAATTACATCTTGGGGGATACCCAAGAATACTCTCGATAAAAGGAGTTTCGCTTCATATTATCATAGATCTGGGGTATAAGAAATCAAATGAAGGTTATTCCGTGTGGGAACAGTCCCAATGCTTTAAAGCTCGCGCTAAGCAATCGAGCAGAGAGTGAGTCTCTCACATCCCGAAATAGGTAGCGGCTCATCGGCACATGGGGCCCACG